TGCATGTCGGGTCTGTTAAGCAACAACCACCTTCAGATTGAAGATCACAACTTTTCAAAAAGCTGTAATTCAGCTCGATATAAAGCAAGAGAAAGTGATTCTGTGAAGGTTGCCACCAAAGAGATCAGCATGTGTGATTGACTCAATGTATGTCAGTCCAATATGATGAAATAAAAAAAAAAAAACAGTTAATTCTCAAAATGATCAGGGGTTCAGATGTTCTTGGCCTTTGGCTGGCAGTTACTGACCACTGCCCTAGTTTTATACGAGGACATGAGAAGACCTGCTCAACTTGGTCCACAGACTGAAGGCACCCCGCCCCCACTGACTGCTAAAGAGTGTATTTCGCTTGTTTAGTCATATTTTATTCATTTTGATCACACGGCCAAATTTGATACTGCACTTCCCTTGTCCACTAACATACACATGCCAAGTTTGAAGCTGATAAGTGGTTCTTAAGATATGTGTTCTACATAAAGGCAGAGTTATGGAATTAGGAGATAATGTCGCGCAGATGAACAAGACAGTGATGGTGTTGTATTGATGAGCTTAGGTGAGTAAATGAGATGGAATTTGTAATTGGTCTGTTGTCCTTAACCCCCCCTGCTCTTAGACTGCCTCATGTGATTAGCCGAATGGGCTCCAGTGAAGTGGTGGACATCAACCTGTTCTGCCTTGTTGCAATGGATTTTTACCGGCACCAGATTGACGAGGAGCTGGACCGCCGGGCTTTCCAGTCCGTCTTTGAGACTGTGGCCTCGCCCGGCAGCCCTTATTACCAGCTGCTGGGCTGCCTGCAGTCAATCCACCGGGATACATCGCTGTGAGAGCAACAGACTGAGACGGACATGGAGGCACAGAGTGAGAAAGAGGTGCCCGGGGGGTGAAGCATGGGTAGAAAAGTGGATTAAGGTGAGAAATGTGGCAGGCTGTGAAATTAGATCCCATGTATACCTCCCCCTCAGAATGCTTCATTACAAAGACAGAACTACTGAAGTCACCATAATAAATTTAAAGAAATGAGTGTAAAAATAATTTAAAACAAAAAAAGAAACTGAGGGAGATTTAAGTTCATGTCAGGTTTAGAGTGTAAAATGTACAAGAGCAGTCTCTGAATAGGAAGAGTGAGCTCCTGTACCTATGTGAAGGACACTGCAACCCCTTCAAACCCCTCCACAGACCATTCCTCAAGATGAATGACAGCACCTTGAACACTTCCGACCCAGCACCTTGACAATATAAAGACCACAAATATTGGATTTGTTTATTTTCCTGTGAGGACTTGCTTGAGTATTGTGATGTCAGTAAAGTATAATAGAGAAAAAAACATGAGAAAATATTTACTATATTTGAAGTTTCAATGCATCTATTTTTCAAGTGTGTTACAGAGGTGTGATGGGCTGACATACAAGTTGTTAATAACTAGTATCTTTTATATTTGTTGTGGTCATTCTGACACATTGATACAATTTCATGTGAGAGAGATCACTTAGTTGTTTTTTTGTTTGTTTTTGTTTCGTGAGCAGGGGATGGGTTTTGTGATTTGTCACAGCAGATATGTCAAGTTACAACTCCTGCACCTGTTCAGTGACACATTCTGGATGTTAAGTGAGAGGACAAAGAACGAGACGGGTACAAACTGAGCAGCGTGAAGAAAACCTCACTTTCTGCTGTTTCTAAATAAAATTGTTTTAAATGTTTAAGGGCCCACACACCTAAAGTCAAAAATACCAAAACTGCAGTGATGTCATCTTTTATTTATTTTTAACCAGTTGCAGGAGGAAAATCTTTTCTTCATATGATTTTATGATCTTGCTTCCGTTTGGTCCTGTTTTGATTATATACACCTCCCCAAGTGCACCTGAATGATTTCACCTGTCAACTTCCTGTCCTTTCTTTCTTTTTAATTCTCAGGATGTAAGATGTGACTATTGTAATAAGACCAGATGTAATTTACAGTCGTCTTTAAATGGAGTTACCTTTGTATCTTGTAAAATTGTAAAGTAAAATGGAAGCCATGGTGCATGATAAAATAGGAAGCTGTGTAAAGGTGAGAGATTTCAAATAGATGCATAATATGACGCCATCTTCTTCTTCTGTCTTAACACACAAGATGAATCGGCAGAATGCAGAAAGCCTGTTTTATTGAAGACTTGACCTCAAGTTGCCTGGGAGTGTGCTGGACGTCGTCACTCTGTACATACACTTGCCTTAGATAAAGACTGAATATATGTATGTCCTGTACACTGAAAGCTTGAAAGCATGCTTAGCATTACTGCTATTTTCTTGCGTACTCCTTAATACTGTATTTCTGTGGACCGACTGTTGTGTGGGAGAGATGCAACACAATCCAAAGGGAGCCTTGTAACCTTAGCAACCAACAGCCGCTTTGACAAATCAACAGACAGGGGAAGTGAAGCGTAGTGACGCCATGTGACGGTGGAGGTTCTGTTTTTGTTGAGCTTTAAATATCGTTTTGTCTCAGTTAAAGATGGGTAAATATTTAATTGTCTTTGTACAGAATATTAAATACACCTAGCACTTAAAAACTGGAGGTTTTCATCGTGATGTCAGATGTGTTCCACAATGCATAAAATCATTTTAATGCTTTTCAACTTTTAAAGGCAATGGGACCGGTTCCTTGCGGTCATGTTAAAAAAAATATAGTCACATAAATGTCTGAGTCCTCTGCAGCTCTTATTGAAATCACAATGTGAGGCCTGAAACAGATTAAATCTGTCTCAGATCAGTTTGGATTCATGTATTGAGGAAAATAAATTCCTTTTTCCTATGCTGCACATGTGTCAGCTGGACAGAGGAAATCTTTTCACCGAGTCCTTTGGTATTTCCACAGGCGTAAGAACAGCAAATGTCCCTGCAGGGGGTAATACGATTACCCAGAAATCTTTTGTGGTTTTGGGAGATGGGCGTGGAGGTTGTGGATAAAGGTCATGTTTGACTGATTTAACACGCTTCCCCTTCAAGACTTCATTTTCCTTCCACTGGAGGAGTGAAGGAGCTCAGAGGAAAATCTAGTCACTGCTTTTGACCCAGTAAGTCTTTTCTCTCACCTGCGTTTCCGATTAGCATGTTAACGCTTGTCATTAAATGAATACGTCTGTTTGGTGCCCACTTGCCACAGTTGTGATTTATACAGTAAGTGTGAGGAGGTGGTGGAAGAAGCAGAAAGTGAGGATTCACTTTGCAGCTGCTTAAATCTGGATCATCCATTTATCTTTTTTTAATTTACATCTGCCTGTAAAAACATGATTAAGAGATTGTGTATTTCGGTTAATTTCAATATTTTGATCACTGCATATGGTCCATTGTAGAAATGAATAAATTATTTAAAGATGTTAAAGGTATGTTTTGTTATTTAATGACACGATTTCCTCCCTTTGGGTTCTATACTGGTCTCGACAACCTGACAGGTTGCCTGGCAAACACAGGGTCCGCTGGGCGTCTGTAATATGATCAAACAATGAGGCTATAACCATTAAACTGTTCTGCCCCGCTCTGCCTCCTCTCTACCAGAAAGAACGAGCTGTGGCCGGTCACCTTAAGTCAACCAAACAGGCAAGAAATATTCATATACTGAGTTTGATAGAAGCCACAAAGGGATGATGCATTTTGCTGCTGTTTAAAGATCTGTTGTATTTGACCTTATCTGTAACTCTAACTGATCTTTTACTTGGTCATGGTCACATTTTATACAGTTTCCTTCTCATCCAGGCTTTAATTCCCTTTTATTGACCACAGAGTATGAAAACAGATTCTAGTTTTACAGCACCCATTAAGATGGGCTCTTCATGATTAAAAGGAATTAACAGGATTACTGAGCAGCTGCCATATGGTTCATGAAGCACTGAAATCATGATGGCACAGGTATTAAGCAACTGTACATGTAGGAGAAAAAAACTTTATGGCTGAACTTACAAAGGCTTTATCATGTCATGATGTGTGATTTACACTAACCACTTTATATATCAGGACAAACAGACAATACAGACACTCACATGAACACGCACAGCTGGCCCTTAGAAAATGAACGTATGTCCCAACAATGCTCTAGTTCTTTTTATAGACCTCATTGCAACTACATTATAAATCTCAAAATCAAAATACAACTTTGAAACCAAAGGAAGGAGAATGGTCAGATGTGAAATGCTGTAACTGGTCTTTTATTTCAGATGTTAAAGTTGTGTCACATCTTGTACATTACAGATTTGTTGAATACATGTAGATTTCTTGCAGAAGTGAGTAAATGTAATGTTCTGGCATGACAAATAACTGTTTCACTCAAATGTGTCATGGCGCTGCATGCTGCTTGTACAGTACTGTTAGCTGATACTAGTGTTCAGTAGCCTGGATACACACCTCTCTACCGGCCAAACTAAGCAAATCACTTTAAAGGACAAATTAAGAAAATGTGCATTATCACATGAAAGTAAATAGGTGGAACTTACAGATAGAAAATGAATGTCCCAACAATGCTTTAGATTGTTTCACAGGCCTTAATGCCACAATGCAATTGCAGAATTTAAATAACTATGAAACTAAAAGCGCAAAAATAAGTCATCAGGTGTGATCTGGTAAAACTAAACTAAATAGAAGTTCAGACATAAAAAAAAGGGATATACTCTACTTGCACATTAAAGACACATCAGAGACTGTTTGACCCTCAGACGTAGAGAATTGAGTTAGTGTTTTGCCTGGCAACAATGTGGTTGAACCCTGGAGTTATTTCTATTGTAAAGAAAGATAACAAAAAGTGTTAGAAAGTTGCTGCTTGTACATGACTGTGCGCATCCTGGATAAACTCACCTCTCACACACACACTAGGACGAATGGATCGTTTCAGCCACATGGATGAAAACTCTTTAAAATGAATGAACTTGTGTTATTTCATCAGTCTGAAGTCTCCCCCTCTGTTGCCCACCCTGTACACCCCTCCCTCCCTCCCTCCCTCCCTCTTAAGGCTACTTCGCCAGATGGTGCAGCCTTTTCTTTTGTTTACCCATCGTCCCTCTGAGTTTACCGACCCAACCTTAGCGACTCAACTATGGAGACTGTCCGAGCAGCATCACCGTCCGACGGAGACAAGTAAGTCACTTAGCTGTTTTTTTGGATTCTCCGGCTCAGTGATCCGCTTCACCAAACTTATTTATCGACATGTAAAAAAAAAAAAAAAAACCTGCATCCACCTTTTCACTGAGCTGTCCCTTCTTTACAACTCACAGCTTCTCAGCCAGATGCTGTCGTTTCTGAGCTGTTTTCCATCTTCAAGCTGGTTAGAGACAGAGCTCAGAGTGTGTCCCGCTGCTGAGAGCACGTCATGTAACCGTGAGGAGAGCTACGGGGGCATTGTTGAGCCTGTACGTTGTGACACCTGTGGATCGAGCTACTCTCGCTACTTTTATTTGTGATTTCTCAGTCGAACTTTCGTCAATTTCTCCGCACAACGGTTGTCGCTGCTGACTGACAGCTCCGCGCGCCAATGACAGCACGCGAAGGTCTGTGTACAGCGCCGTCGCCGTGGTTACGCGCCGACATTCCGAAGATGTGGGAAGCGGGGGGGCGGGACTAAGATTTCAGCATGGATGGATGCACTTTTCTTTTTTTTTTTTTTTCAGCAGCAAGTCCAGACAAGAAAAAACAAACGCGTTTAAAACTGTGACCAAGTGACGCGAAGTGAGCGCGGAGCTGTTTGTGTGGTGAGAAACTCCAGGTGTGGTTTTTTTTTTTATTCCACCCGCAGCCTTTACTCTACCAGCGCTAACTTTGCTAGCATGAAGAGCTAAGTGAGCTAACGGTAGCGCGACAGCTAACTGTAGCTAACAGGTTTCAATAAAGTCGGAGGCTCCTTATGAAGGAATACAACACTAACGCGAAGCGCAGGTTGCGTTGAGAATAAGAGATACGCCTGTTCCAACGTAAAAAAAACAAGCTGAAGTCCAGTGTGAGTCTCAGGTGTTGGCTGTGTGTGTTTGATTTACCTGTCAGGTGAGAACACGCCTCTGTTCAGAACACACGTGTGTCGCTGGGTAGAGCTGCTGGGACTCCGCCCTGCACAGGTGTGTCTGTCCCGTCACGTCCATGTGCTCTCTTCACTCGTCAACACTTAATGACAGATCAATAACAGTGTTATTGATCTGCTCAACAGGCCACACAGGCAGGTGGTTTGATCCACATGAGGAATTCAAGTGTGATAGAATCAACGTTTCACATATTCTTTTGTATTTAGATCGTCTAAATTCCTCTGTTCATCCCTGACATGCTTAACATGATCATCATATGGGTACATTTCATATCCACTGCAGGTAATCGATAGTTCATTAATCTATTCACATATTCCACAAATGGCAAATTAAGAAAACACATGCTAATAAAAAAAACAAGTGCAAATTAAGAACAACTTCATTAATTTGACGACAATGCGCTCCTTGCTCCGAAGATTATCTCTGCAACTTTTTATGTGCTTTGTGTATGTTCAATAAATATAATAAAGTATGGCAGAAACTCAAGTAGAGACAATGAGACCATGTTGAGAAAGTAAAAGCTGCCACTGACTTGGGTTTGTTCTTTTGTGCTGCAGGTAAACTTGCCCATGAACTGGAGCAGCAAGTGACACCAGGATGGGAGGGCTAGCGAGACCGTGCCAGAACTGAGGCCAAACTCTCACTCCCCTGCTGCATTTAGGACTGCTGCTCATTTTTTCGTAGCAACTTGATGGTAGAGCTGTTTGTCAAGAAGATAAGCCCTGGATATTTCCTTGTGTTTTTCTGCCTAAGCAGAGCCTGGGGGACGAATGATGACTGACTGAAACCAATTGAATCGATGGACTCGAGAAAGTTCCCTGGCACAATGTTAAGGCCAGCAGACACATCATCCAAGAGGCGTCCGTGTGGTGGAAGTGGGCTGAACTTGCCTCCTCCCCCCCCTGCCTCCTCCTCCCTCCAACAGGGTCGTATCCATGCCGTGGAGGTGGCACGAGGGAGGACAGGGTACGGCTTTACGCTTTCAGGTCAAAGCCCATGTATCCTCAGCTGCATCCTGAAAGGGAGCCCTGCAGACTATGTGGGCTTACGTTCTGGAGACCACATCCTCTCTGTTAATGACATCAATGTGTCCAAGGCCTCGCATGAAGATGTGGTCAAGCTGATTGGACGCTGCTCTGGTGTTTTGAAACTTGTCATCGCTGAGGGAGAACGTCACAGGCGCCACCATCACCACCAACGGGCTGGAAATCGCCATCACAGCAGCAATACGATGGGAGCATCTCACCTGGACTCATGCTCGAGCGATGATGAGTTGGATGGTTTCTATGACAACAGTGTTAACAATAACAATAACAGCAGGTCAGGCTGTGGAGCTCGCGGGGGTTTGTACAAACCCAAATTGGATTCTAAGCAGCTGGGCATCAACAGGGCAGAGAAGGTTGTGGCGGAGCTGCAGTCCGGAGGAATCTTTAACATGATCTTTGAGAACTCCAGCCACTCGTCCAGTAGCTCGGACAAGGAGAGGCCGTTGGTTAGTTCATCATCAAAGCCTCGTCCTCTGTCTGATCCTGAGTTCCCACAGTATCGGAACTCCTCTTGTTCCCAGAGCAATCCCAACCTTCTCTCTGAGGAGGAGATGGCTCAAGTTCTGAATGACGATTCAGTCTTCCTGGACTCAGACTTCCATCATCTCAACATTCACCCACATGAAGAGCAAGACGTGGATGTAGGAGATGGGGGCGATTTGGGCCTAGAGCCTGGTGAAGGCATCCTCAACGTGGGCATGATTGTTGGCTATCTGGGCTCCATTGAGCTGGCCTCCTCTGGGACAAGTTTAGAGAATGACAGCCTGCAGGCCATCAGGGGCAGCATGAGGCGTCTCAGAGCCGAGCAAAAGATTCATTCATTGGTCCTAATGAAGGTGAATCTAATTCTTTCATTACCCATCTGAAGAAAATAGATTGTTAGCTAGATTTTTAATCTAGTTTAAAAAACAATAGTTTAATCTAAAAAAACATATTTCTTTGTAAGCCTTTAAACAGTATATTGATAGGTCTCGAATGAGTCAAGATTTGAAAAAATATCTTTGTCAGACTTCAAACTTCAAGCTGCTAGAAAAGCAGATAGTACATTTACTTAAGACTATTTCAGCAGATTAAACAGTGTCTATAATGATGTCAGGAATCTGTGATTGCCTTGTTATTTTTCTTGGCACCAGGTACTAACATGCATTAATTACATCCTGCCAGGTCATGCATGACAGTGTGCGTCTGTGCAGTGACAGGGGTCAGGTCCTGGCCACCTATCCTGCAGAGAAACTAGCCTTCAGCGCTTGCTGTCCCGACGACCGGCGATTCTTTGGACTGGTCACGATGCAGGCCACGGACGAGCATGACTATAATCGCTTTAGCAACGGACGAGATGAAGATGGTGGTTTGAGGACTTCCTGCCATGTGTTCATTGTGGACCCAGACCTCTGTCATCACCAGGTAAAAAGAGTGACACCAGGATTATAAATCATTCTTTTAAGGAAATTACTCTGTTGATTTATGTTGATTATTCTGACACAATTTACAACTGTGTAATATTACCTTTATTATTAAGTATAGGGTCTTGATTTTCCACTATGATGTTGATAAAGGCTGGGGATTTCTGATATGAAATAAATGCAGAGGTAACGTGCTGTTTGAAGTTGCCTGTAGAAAGTCACGGCTGCTCTTGAAGATAAAATAAAAACAAAATCACGGACCAAAAAGATACACAACTAAAGATGACGGCTGTGCCGACAGTGTATGTGTGATAAAGAAAATGCTGCACATAAAATGCACTGTATGAATGGGTGATTGGAAAAACTGTACTGTGAATATATGACAGCACATATCTACCCATACACACTCTTATGGTGACTGTTGTTTCCTCAGGTCCATTTAGGTGTAGCCATGAGGTTTGGCTTTGAGTGTACCCCCGACCCAGACACAGGTGGCTGCCTTGAATTCCCGCCCAGCTCTCAGCCTCTCCTCCACTTTGTCTCTGTCCTCTACCGAGACATGGGCGACAACATTGAGGGGGTTCGGGCCCGGGCCTTTCATGATCCAGACAACGACGCCCAACAGAACCACAGCACCAGCAGCAACAGCGATAGTGGGATTGGAAACTTTTTACCAGAGGAGAAGAGCAACAGAGTGCTTTTAGTGGACCTCGGAGGTCCTCCTAATCACAACCACATCTCTGGGCCACGCCACTGGGACAGCCCTCCTTCCTCCCAGCAGGCCTGGAGCCCCACCCTAGGAGCCACCGCCTCTCTCCCACCTCCTCCTCCTCCTCCGCCAGCTCTGAGAAATGGCCACTACCGCCACGATCCACACCTGGCTGACCTCCCTCACCCTCTACCCTTGGCTCACACTGACGTCTCCAGCAGGCACTCACGAGGGGTCCACCCTCACCACTACTCACTGGCGAAGCGGGGAGGAGCTGTGGGGGGAGGAGAAAAGAGAGGGGCGGGAGGAGCAGTAGGGGTGGAGCCACAGCGGTGGCTCCCAGTCCATGTGCTTAGAGACTGGCGTCAGCAGCACCACCACAGCCACCTCCAGGGCCTGAGCAGCGACCAGGAGTCCTATGCTGAATCCACTGACGGGTGGTCATCGGCCAACTGCAGCACCTTGCCTCCACCCATGAGTAAGATCCCTGCAGACCGCTACCGGGCCCCGCTAGCCCCGGGAGACCACCTGCCACCACCTGGAGGGAGCCAGCCTCCTCCTCCGTCACATCCCCACTCCCACACCCACCGGCTGGCTGTTCAGAAAGATGAGTGGGCCAAGAAGCTGTTTGGTGCTGGAGACAGGGAGCGGCCTGGAGCAGAGAGAGGTGAAAGAGAGAAGAAACGAAGGAATGCAAAGGAAGGAGAGAAAAAGGTAAGATTAAGACAAATTCATCAAATATTTTCAAATCAATAAGACTCTGCTTATCTCTTTCACTTTTTTACCTGCTATATAGGCTGGCTTTCCACAATAGGGCATTCATTGAAGTGTTTCACTGTGCCAGTTTGTGGATTGTGGGGCTTTTGGAAGAGTTGTGTTAAAACTGGCCATGAGCTGAGAAGCCCGGGCAGCAGGTAGAATCCTCATCACACCCCTCTGCTGTGGAAATTTACTCTGACTAGTGTATGTCCAAGGCTACAGTTTATTGAGGCTATAAATCCATCTGTGTTCATCCCTCTGTTCACCATCGCATTTTCACCCACTCTCTCAAGGCCTAGAAACTTGACTCAACTGAACTTGTCCTCGAGAAAATTCTCTTACTTAGACGGGAAACTTTTCAACGGTGTTCAAAGTTGTAATAAACAACATCCACCTCAGCAAACTTCCCTGTGCTGTATTGCACATTATTCAACTATTGAATAATGTGAATGTTGCAATATGCTCTCTACCCAGACTTAGTACAAGTGGATTGATAAGTTATTTATTCCCACTGCTCCAGTATCATCAGGTCATGCATTATGCACCAACCAGCCATCTGCCTTCACCTGAAAACCACCTGTTTCCCACCGTAATTAGTCAGTGGTAAGAGCAGAGCATGCGTATGATAAAGTGCTGCACATACATGCACTGTATGAATTTGTGTGTGAAAAACTGACACAACTGTGCTGTAAAGCTCTTTGAGTGGTCAACAAGACTAAAAAAGTGCTTTATAAACCCAGACCTTTTTATATAAAGAACATTTCGTTTATTTCACACAAATGATATACAAAAGACATAAATGTTTAAAGGTACAGTGTGTAGAATTTTGTGATATCTAGTGTTGAAATTGCATGTTGCAGATGAACACCCCTCACCTCACCCTCTCCTTCCAAACATGAAATAGAACCTGTGGTAGCCTTTTATTGTCATAAAAACTCAAAAGGTGTTTAGTTTGTCCAGTCTGGACTAACTAAACATGGTGGCCTCCGTAGAGAGGGTCCCCTCGATGTAAATATAAAGTATTTGAATATAAAGGGCCTTTTCTGGGGTAAAGAAAACTACAATTCATACAATTTAGATGAAAAAAACTAGTGAAAACATCATGAGAATTACTCTACATTAAATTTCTGCCAATAGATCCCTTTCACCTCAATCTTACACACTGGACCTTTAAGTATGTGTGGAGTGTGATAGAGACACTTTTGAAAACCATACCCAAATATAACAAGAGAAATACAAAACCTACAAAATATTTAATACAGGTTATGTATTAGTATAAAAGAGAAAACACATTTCACATACATTAACTGATAACAGTATACATTATATACTGTACATTAACTCCCCTACAACCGATCAGCTGAATAAAAATGCTCATAAAAAATAGTCAATCTTTACAAGTATGCAGTAAAGATTTGCCTCGTCTCAGTCTACATTTAATACAAAGGAGTTTCTTGTTTGTCCCAGACACTTAAGTAGGTTGTTGCTTCCCCCAGTCATACTCGTGGAGGACAGGGTCTGAGGATCCCAGGGGAAAATCAGAGGAATTGTTTACAAGGCCAGGGTCAGTGTAGAGGGTAGCAGGGTCAGGAGGTTGAACATCAACCTCTCAGAACAATGTTCTCAGACTGGACATGCAGTGTGTTGGAGGCTGTCCGAGGATGTCACGATTACTTGGAGCAAAGATGTTTTTCCTTCAATGTACTTTATACTCAAGAATTACATTGATATTATTGCTAACCTGCTTCCTATAGTATATATTATGTAGTATACATATATACAAATATATGTTATTTGACTTATTTGCTTGCTTTTGTCTGCCACATGGTGGCACTGTTTCATCATCTAAACCATAAACTCTGTGAGCATGCATGAGGCATTGTCTATTGGGAATAAAAGATATACTATATTTACGTGTTGTTTGGTGCCTGACATTGATCTGAACAAATGAAGTAGATGTGGCTATAGTTTACCCATGGGCTGGAAATTATCAGGAAAAAAAAGCTTAAATATATAATTGATACAAAAACAGTAGAATTTTGTGGATGTAACCCTTTTTTTCATTTGTGCAGTTTTCATTTGGGCCTTGCTGTACTGCTGCAGTTTCTGTTTTTATAAGAAATAAGTGGGATATTTGTGTGTGTTTGTGCTTTGCTCTTATGTTGACAGCTGTTTTTGTTGTAAACAGGAAAGATGCCATGTTTCTGTGACACTGATGGTGTGCGTGCGTGTGTGCGTGCGTGCGTGCGTGTGTGTGTGATCAGAGCTTTGAGTTTTCCACTAAATATTTTTTTCTTTCAGATGTTTCTGTTAAAACTCTGTGGTGCAGCCACACCCAAAACAAGCCCAGCATAACATCAACATGTTATCGTTTCCTTTTTTTAGTTCAAATCTTTGCTTTTATGAGAAACAATTTAGTTTGCCTCAAGCAGAAGTGCCATAATGATTAAGATGTTAAAACTGACCAGGTTAAATGGGGGTCACATGAGAATGTTTGTGTCTACGTATGTAATCGAGTGTTCAAATCTGTGCTGACTGATACACGCACACGTACATGAGGGGGTGACTTTGTTTCCAGGCAACACTGGTGATGAAATGCCAACAAGACCTGTTCCTAATCAGCCAGTCAGATTCGACATGCGCCACAATTGGCCTCTGGATCCTGACTGTCAACATTGATTAATTTCTCATTAGTTAACAGCTCCATTGGCGTATGCTCTCTGCTAGAGTTTAAGGAGATTAGCCAAATGCCATTTGTGAGCGGATAGAAAGAAGAGGAGAGTATTTGTCTTGTTCTCTAGAAGCAAAAGAACAACAGTTGTTAAAAGTTAATTGTAAACTTGTGAAGGCTACACAAGCCCGTCCTCTATGGTTTAGTGCACCACTCAGTGTGGTTACATCATTATCAGATGGGCTCTGGACAATAAATCCTGATGAACCAATGACTAATTTTCTATTGCCCGTTTTACTCAACAGTTTTATGGCATCATGTAGCAGCTGGTCAGTTGAAAATTCATTCCAGTTTCACAGCGTTAATCTTAACTTGCATTATCTTTTTGTGTGTATTTTAATATCAGTGGGAGTACACTGAGCAAACACAATAATGACACCACCTGAGCGATGATGAAATCTTATGTGAGAGCACAACATGCTACTTGCTCTGCATGTGTTGTTATCATGTCCATCGTGTGTGTCAGTGTGTGTTTCTCTGCTCTACATGGTTGTGGGTTACAAGTACAATCCTGTGCTGCAGGCACAAAACACAAGACTGCACATGCCTGTGTCCACCATGTGGAATTTAACATTTAAGTGGAAAGAAAAAATGCGTCTTAAACAGGCACGAATGTGTAACAGTAGAGCTCCAGGCAAAGTGGCCCATATCCCTTCATGTAGGCTCTGATGTAGGATTTTCTATGTGCTATGTGTGTCTTTTTGTGACCTATTAACACTTAGACATTTTATTTTCTACAACACCTCTTCCATCTCTCACACACACACACACACACACACACACACACACACACACACAGTGTCATGCTGTTTATGAACATGTTATTGATCAAAACATGTTTGAACTGGATCACGGTTTGCAACAAACATATTGTCAAGACAGGTTTTGATGGAAAACCTGCTTAGTTCAGAGAACAAAAACCATCAGTGAACTACAGTGTTGTTAAAGACTGTGGCTGATGGTTGCCATGGTGGTTACCCAGCCCAACAGCAGCACAAAGACTGTAAAGATTCCATGTACTAATATTACAAAAACACATTGATCATTTGACTTTCCAACAGAAGTAATGAAAGAAAAGCAGATGAATAATATAAATGCTTTTTCATTGCCCCTGCCAAGGAGGATGCTTTGTTGTTGCCCCTGTATGTTTGTTTGTTTGATTGTCAGTCAGACTACACAATAACTACTGAACGGATTTCCATCAAACTTGGTGGCAGGATGGGACATGGGCCAACCCGTTAAATATTTTTTGACATTTTCAAAGATTTTCCCAGGCAATATTTCATGGATCTTGAAAAGAAGAATCAGACATATTTAAGGAACTGATATCTATGAGTGTGTGCAACTTGGTGGAGCTTGATGGAATTTAAGGAGGTATGTGCTGTACTGAGTACCATTCTAGTTTCAGTATTTATTCGTTGTATCTTTGTTGTGCATAAAGCTAGATGATATACCTGGAACCTTTATCAAGATAAGTTTTCAGTCGATATCAATAATTATCACTATAAATGTCTCATTATTATTTCTGTTGAGTTGTCTGTGCCTGAGTGAAGTGTCTGTGCTGTTTGGTGGGTAAAATATCTAATGGAGACATTAAGTAATCAATTTACAATCTGCCATGCATTGGTCAGGCTCTAATTCATATTTTCATATATTTTCATGTGTATTTGTTCATTTTCATGGTGTGCACTTCAGTGTCAGTAAAGAGTGACAGAAATACTTAGGAGCAGAGTGAGTGAGTGATGGTCATGACAAAATACTGTAGATCCAAAGCTTCTCAGACGACAGAGGGACCCCTCACATTCATCTGCTTTTTGTCATTATTTATGCTGGAAAGACAAATGATCATTGTTTGCTGTTCATTCAGACTCATTCACTTCTACAATCTAACATATGGGAGGTTCCAAGTCAACCCCTCTTTTGCAGTGACTTTACAATAAAGTACCTTAAATGAGAGCTCAGCAGTAGCTGTTGACGGAGGTGAGACACTCACTATCCCCTCAAGCGTTCTCACCTGCTGGAGGTTTTTGAACTAGATGTGTTAACACCAGCTTCCTTGTCTGATGAGTGGCTACTGCCCTTGTGCATTATTCTGAATGCTTACTGAACATGTGTATTCTTTGTCTCCTCAGGGTGGTCGGTTCCGTGGTTTGACAATGGGCTTCCCTCCTCTCCCGCAGCGCTCGTCAGCCCGACGCTCCTTTGGACGCTCCAAACGGCTCGGCTTGGCCCGCTCCCTGGACGACTTGGAGGTAAGAGTGTACACACACACACACACACACACACACTCAAACACACATAGCATTGTGTGTTAACAATGGTGGTGTTTGACCACTGCGTTGTTGTCACATTTGAGCCACACATGCACCTTCCATCTCTTATAATAGCAGCTCATGAGCATCATACAACCTCACATGATATGTCAAGCCCTCTTCTCACATCGCCATGGCAACATACACACTATCACGGACAGTGCTTTCTTATAGAAAGAGCCGTGAGACATTTCAGGCATATGGATTTGGATTAAGATACCTTTGTTCGTCAGATAGCAGAGGCTCACTGAGGTTACCGTTTGTTACTCGCGGCCACATGTTAAAGTGGAAAAGTATTTCTGTGGAGTGGGTGCTCTACGGCTATACTGTTACAGGAATTATACTTTTGTTCTCCTTTTAGCTGTAAGAAATGACCTGATATCCAGTCATTTGAGAGCCATGAGTTTTCCTAACAATATGCCCATTTAGTTCTTCTTACAACATTTTATAATGAGAAAGTCTGCAGTAGCTGCTTTATTACTCTCGACAGCAAATGATACAATGGACTGCTATCATGGTTACCACTGTAAATCCTTGCACAAGGTTATAACAATCATAATAACCATGGGATTCATATTTATGGTTTTGCATTTCCAGAATCTATATATATTTTATCCATTTTATGTTTAAGTTTGTTTGTGTGTGTGTCTGCTTGTGAGACCAAAAACAGAGTTCTGCTGTCTGTGATCACGGCTTGTAACAGTAGTTTTGGTCCAAAGATAGAGATCAGAAGAAAGCTAAATGTTTCCGCCATTTAGTGGCTATACTGAGGCAGCCTGGGAGCAGATAAGGAGATCCCACACTGTCGCTTCAGTAGTGAGATTTGTTTTGGTTAATATACTGTACATATTTGGCATTTTTTCTTTATTGGATAGCTCAGTAGACAGTGACAGAATAAATGGGAAGAGCCAGGGAGAGACAGGTTATTACATGCTATCAAAATTTGAGATGTGTTTTAAACACTGGGCCCCAAATTGGTTTTATGTAAAGTTAAAGCTTATAAAGAAAAGTTAAAAGTTATGACCATATGTAGGGAAATGCAATTTGTAAATATTTTGTTGCCATAGGCTCTGCCCACAAATGTCTAGTGTTGTTTAGCCTCACCTCAAACTATTCGTGATTGAACACTTTGTACTTTGTTGTGTTGAGCTTATGCTGACAGAACTAGGATGGCTCTCAACAGAGTGTTTACCTGTAAGACCAAACAGTCTCCTTAAAATCAATCAAGCTGCAACTAATTTTACACAATCAGTTCCCTAAATGTACTGTTTTCATTAAAATACATGAATTAGTCCCAGGGAAATCGCTGTTAAACAAAGTGATAACCATCCTTTTTTTCTGTATCTGTGCCAAAGTTTAAAGTATTTTTTTTTGTGGCCCAAGCCCCATCCTTCCACCAAGTTTCAAGAAAATCAATACAGTAGGTTTTGTGTTTTCCTGCTAACAGTCAAACAGCAATGAAAACATAGCAATGCATCTTTCAATCATTATTATTAATCACATTCATTTAATTTAAGTCATTAGGTGGTAATGTCAGGAGCACCAGTGCTTTTCTGCACACATTTGAATGTGTTTCATACAGGGGTAGATGTATCTCCCATTGCTAGACCATGGTCTCACTCTTCTTTTCTCCTCATCACCCCTCCACCCTCTATCCCCTCTATTCTACCTTTATCTTCCGGTCGTTAGGCCTTTTTCTTTTGCTGCACATTCGGCAATGTCGATAAACAGAGAGGGCTTTGTGTTGTGAGAGGGGGAAGGACAGAAAGATTGGTGTGTGTGTGTGTGTGTGTGTGTGTGTGTGTGTGTGTGTGTGTGTGTGTGTGTGTGTGTGTGTGTGTGTGTGTGTGTGTGTGTGTGT